TACAACAAAATCAGCACAATCATATTTCCTCGCCGGTACCAGTCGCATTGTCGTTGGTGTCGTCGCCGCCGACGTCGCGACACGAAGCGAAAAAGACTGAAATAGCCGCAGACGGCGATAACCGCAATGCGGCAAAGTAGCGGTACGGAACGGTTCAAAAGCGAACGAGGTGAATGAAACGGATAAGCAAATAACATGCGCATCGTAACAAAAGCGAATAACCCAGTTGGGGTGTTTGGCGGGTGGGTGAAAATGGGACGTAAAAGCTTTGTCATTGCCGCATGCCTAGTGTTGGCAGCAGTAGCGAACAAACCCAGGCAGAGAAAACAGAATGCGTACGCAAAGGAAAGACGACAATAGCCCCTGTTGCATGGCAAAGCAGACAACAGCCACGGAACTTCAATCAGCTACTTGGCAAGAAATTGGAAACAGGGCAAAACAAAAAGCCGAAAGCGCCAAATTCATGCGAAAGTAACGAAAAAAGTGGGAATAGCGAGAAGCCGACTGACGTGCAAATGTGTGTGAAACGGTTCAGCGGTGAGTGCAAGAGAGTTTTTAAATGAAAAGAGCGAACAAGAAACAAGCGGAAAAAGCGGTTGACACAGAATAGAGCAGCTGCGGCGACGATAACGGCGACGGCGAGATACCATTGCGATGAGTGTTTTTTTAATCAAGCGATAAATAAAAACAAAAAAACAAAAAAAAAACGCGATAACAGAGTACATTTTGCACCTATGGTTTCCCGATCTAATTATTCATATTCGCACCTCCGTGCTAGCTCAAGAGATTTGGAAAATAATATGCTCTAATTATTTTCGTCTTACGTTCAGTGAAAAATTAAGTGACATACATCCATATGTACATACATATTTAGCTAATTATAGTTTCGTATTAAATGTAATGTTTGGGAATGCATAAAGTAATGGATAGCCTCTATAACCATGTCCGAAAAGATGCAAGAGTTTCTCTACAGCGTTGTCATACGAAAGTAGATAATGTGCCAAAGGTAATTTTAAGTATAAATAGAATTTATAAAAGAAAAACAAAAAAAATATCCGGCGATCAACATGTTGGTAGTCGGTTGAGATAACAAGCCTTATCATGGGTTTAATTCCTCCCCGAATCGGTTCACTTTTCGTTTCCGTGTATTATCTACGGGTGGATGAAAAAATTTCGGGCGAAACTTACGATAAGGCTGAATGTGAAAAAGACACAAACCTACTTAAGTTATTTGACGCGATTTTTTATTTTTTTTGCTTCAAAACTACATTTTCCGTAATTGTTAATCTTTTCTTGGGTACATATCTACCTTGTATAGTGGTAATTGTAAGTTGTCGAAGTATTCTGAATCGTAAAGAAATTTTAACGAATTCGGACAGATCCCATCCGATTTTTTTCCGAATTTTCTAAAATGAAATAAATTACGCACACTTCCATTCTTTTTCGAAATTTCGGAAGAAAATCGGTGAAGAAATGAAAATAATGCTGCTATGTGAAGAATTTCTTGCAGACTTTTTTCAGAATTTTCTTTATTTTTCGTACAGAAATTTCTTTACGAGTTCGTGTCAACCACTTCATATAATTTTCTTTGAATATTCGGAAAAAAATCGTTACAGAAATCAGATACTCCTAAAGATTTCGTGAACTTTGGTTTGCAGGGTACTTTATACCTACTTAGGGAAGAAAATTCGTGATACCGCCAGCAAAAAAGTTAGTAGTTACTACTTCAAACTTGCACTTTATTATACTAAAATTTAACAAATTTACTACAAATTTGCATATTAAACTTTTTTCCAAAAAACTCTTTAGAAAAGTTTAAATTTTAATTAGCGTTGTCGAATTATCCTAATTTGTATACAAAGGTTGGAGTTCGGACATGGTTTTAGTTACATACTGAGCTATATTTGCACTAACACCTGTATGTAATTAATTTAGCTTTTATTACAACAAAAAATACCTGCGTAGGTAAAGCTGTCTTTGCATGAGGCGATTTTTTGACAGGCAACAAGTCATCTTTTGCATGCGATTATCGCCTGTCAAAAAATCGCCTCATGTAAAGGCAGCTTAACTACCGAATCTTCCCCGAATGAGATATCGTATGTTTCCTTTTGCTGCGGTTCGACGAACGTTTTTATTTATCGCTCTGCTGACAAAATTCACACTTGAGACCAGGGCTGTCAACTATACTTAGCTATAAGAGCCATTTTGAGATTAAAAAAGTGCCAAAATGTGTCAAAAAGAAAAATAAAAGTGCCAACAAAGGTGCAATTTTTTTAGTTCCTCCCATTTAGCATTAAAATTAGAAACACATTTCTAAAACAGAAGTCTAATGCCAAAGTAAGTTAAACCAGTGGTAAAAACTATAGAAATTAGACAATTTTTGTTGAGAAAAAGAAGTGCGCGCAAAGGATATCACAAAAGCGCGCAAAGGATTTCACAAAAGGGTATAGAAATATTAATAGGGCAAAAATGACACGGTTTGAGCAAAGTTGGCAGCCCTGCTTGAGGCCAAAAATTTAACGTGATACCTACATACCTCTGGAATTGTTCAATATAAAAAAAATTACCCACATTTTTTATTTTGAAATCAAAAAATACTTAGAGGTCGCTCAAAGTTTAGTTGTAACAGTGAAGACTTATGTATGGTACATTTGTTCATAACCAATTTATACCTATGTACATATTTTCGTATGCATGTACCTACACTGCCGGAACAATGTATTGGCACAGCAAATTTTTCACAATATATGCAACAATTTTCATTCTAATATTTTTCCGCTAATTTCGTATAAAAATATGGTTCATTCTAAACAAAAAACAAAAAAATGTAATTCCTAAACTTCGCGGAAAACTCGCGAAATTCAGGCAAATTTTCAACTTTTTAATCAGATTTTTAGAATTTTTTTTGAGTATGCAGATTTGTAGCCCAATCAATTTTATTATAATAAAGTGCAAGTTTTAAGTAGCTAGGAATTTACCGTTGATTTTTGGCATTTTTTTCACGCAGTCAATTCCATACAAAATTTTTTTTTTTTCGAAAATACTTTATATGGAAAAAATGCAAAACACTTTCAACAAAAAAAAAAAAATCTCAAAAATCAACGCGATTTTTGACTAACTCCGAACCGGCTGCTGCAAATACTGCTGCAAAACTGCATACTCAAAAAATTTTTAAAAATCTGATTAAAAATTTTAAAATGTTGATGAAAATTTGCTGAATTAACACGAGTTTTGCACAAAGTTTGGGAATTATATTTTTATGTTTTTTGTTGTTGAATGAAACATATTTTTATACAAAATTGGTGGAAAAATATTTGAATAAAAGTTGTTGCATATATTGTGAAAAATTTGCTGTGCCAATACTTTGTTCAAGCAGTGTACATACGTATGTACATATGTATGTGGTAGATCATAGGCATCCAAAAATAATAAAGTACAACATATGTACCTACGAAGCAAATCGCTATGCAAAAAAAAATATAATTAACTATGTATATTTCTACTTGTTTTCGAAAATTTGTTCCTTAAATCGAGTTTTCAGTTTCTAAAAAGGTATAAGTTTCAAGTGGCTCAAAATTCGATTTCTTTTTTGATAAAGTGGAATGGGGTGTAGATACCTGAGTTTTCTAAACATTTTGAGCTATAAATTTGTATGAATATCTGTTGAATTTTTGTAATCGTTATAGGAAGTATCAAGCTTCAATTTGTATGGGTTTTATTGTAGACATTACGATTATTACGAAAAATTCGTACCCGAATGCAGCACTAACAAGTAAACCCATTCGAATATAGAAAGGGTGCTTCATACCAAGCTCTTTACTTCGTTAGTTGGCAGTTGTAGGTATGGTTAAGACATATGTATATATTAAAAGCTCCCGCCTAAAAGGATCACTTTGACCCTTACTTCAAGAAATCTCGCAAATTTGGCAGATTGTTAGTAGATTGATGAATTCTAAAAAAATATTCTCCGGACAATTTTACTAGGGGTCTTCTCAGCAAAAAGCTTCATGCTACCAACATAAAAGCCTCTAAAAATTCAAAAAAAAATTAACAAAAAAAGGTTTTTAACAAAAAAATTTTTAAAATTGAGTTTGGAATAACTATTCCTTCTTGGCACAGATTTTTTGTTTCGATGCATCATATCGAAAACAATGTAGGTATCTTTTTACTTGAATCCCTAAGACAAATGGAGTGCCACACACAGTGATTGCAAATTTAGTCAGAAAGATAAAAGTTGAGTTGATTTTTTGGAAATAAAGATGAAATTAGATTTTTTCTAGAAAAATTCGATTTTATCCGAATTATAGCAACACAAAGTTCGATTTAAAAAAATCGTAATTTTGGAGCTAAAATTCGATTAAAAGTCGAATATCGAAACTTCGAATATCGCGTTTACCCATCCCTATGACAGTTAAGGCATATATATACATATGTGCATACAGTGCCGGACAAAAGTATTGCCACTAAGAATATTTCGCAATATGGGCAAAGGTTTTTATTTACTTCTATAATTTTACATTAAAATAAAAGGTTTGTTCCACAAGCTACTTGTAGAAAAACTCGACCAAAGTTCAAACTGTCGGCGTATAAAATAAACTCTAAAACTTACTTGAGGAACGCATATGTTTAACTCGAAGGGACTTCAGAGTAGTTTGTGGAACAAACTTAAAATCTCTAAACCTTATGCAAAGCTCAGGAAAATTAAAAAAAAAAAATTGAGTATAAATTTGGGAGTTTCTAATTAGATTTTTTAGAGAAATTCTAAGTATGTATGCAGTTTTATAGCTCATTGAATTGAAGTATAAACAAAATAAAAAAAAAAAAATACTGTAAGAACAAAAAAAAATTTGCATACAATGTGTATGTGCGAATACTTTTGTCCGGGTATGTACGTATGTATGCACGAATACGTGATACATATAGCGCTCACCAAATCAAAAATTGTATGTAATTTACCAATCCCTGATAATTAAAATATTTGCATGTACATAATAACTTACCATTTCTGCTGTTGTGTTTTTGTTAGTTGGTTAAAGGTGGAATTTAAAAATTAATAACTATCTGCTATTGCTGATTGCTTCCGTCGCTGTCACCGTGGCGATGCTGCTACTACTGTTGCTGGAGTGGTTTCTAAATAGTTATCCTTTGCCTGGAAAATCAAAACCAATACAAGATGTGGAGAATGATACTTTTTCGAGTTGTTCCCGCATTACTTTTATAACATTTTTAATTTAAAATATTATATTACGTAGCGCATGCTGATATTTAACAAATTTCTTAATTGAAATATATAATTTTTTTTTAATTTGCGTTTAAATTCACGTTTTAAGTATGTTGAAAAATTACTCTTTTAAAAAACGTAATTTTTATTATTTAACGTTAATTTACATGAAACCGTGTAGTAATATTTTTCTAATAGTGATCCACTTTATTAACTTATCAATAACGCATTTTTTTTTTTTAGAAAAACGTGTTCCGGAAATATTGCTTTCAGTTCCTCTCAAACAATCCAATTAGTATATGGGCGTTCGCCAAACTCCAAAAACTAGTATACTCGCGGCTATAACGTCGCATTCCTTGCGGTAACTCAAACCCGCGATTCTTTATTTCCTTTCTTTTTTTTATACTTTTGAATTTTGCAGCAAATTCGCTTTTGTCAGCCAGCTAGCCACATCAACACATTCACACGTACTCGCAGCAGTGAACAAGAGTAGAGCCAAAAGTTGGGGCGAGGCGAATTCGCGATATTCCAGTTGAAAATATCAATTTTTAATCGGTTTACTTTTTCTTATAAAATTTCGATCAAATTTATGCAATATTAACTTTTAACATAAGAAAAAACTTAAAAGAAAAACTAGTTATAAAACGATTTTAGAAAAATAGTGGAAAGTAAATATACCCGTTTCCTAATTAATATTCCTTGCAGCTTTTTGACTTTTTTTGGCTTGATATTTTCTTATATATTTATAAAACAGGCAAGAGACTATTCGATTTAAAAGTCCGACACGGTCAACAACTCAATTGCAACTGCGCTAGCGGTTGGCTACGTCAAGTCACTTTACAGCAAGTTGTTCTGCCAAATGCTGGCCTTTGCGTTTTCGTGCTCCCATCGCTATTTGCCTCAATTCGCTCGATTGCCTTTTGCTCGCTGCCTGCTGCTGCTGCCGTCCGCTGTTGTGTTTCGCTCTGGTAATCGGTGGCCTTTTGTTGTTATCTCATTACATTTTCTCATCGGTTTCTTCTTCTGGCTGTTTATTGATTCAAGTGCGCATACGTCTCCGCTTCTTTTCCATTTAGCGTTTCGTTTCAATATTTACTTTTCGCCACAAGTCATCGTTGCCGCCGCAAATAATTTCGCTTTGCTCTGCCGCGGCTTTTTCCCTTTTCTTTTTATTACAAGCTTTTATTTAACTTCACTTGTATGTATGTATGTATGTATGTATGTATGTCCTGGAACTTTGCAGTCAATATTTAACAAACTTCCCGATGAGCTACAGACTTGAAACTTCAAACTTAGCTCAGAACTCGAGGACAATACAATTTAAAAGATGTTTTAATCCGCTAGGTGGCGCAGGAGTCGAGATATTTGTAAAACCCGCATTTATGGTCTGATTTGGTTCGTATTTAGAACATTTATTACGTATATGAAAAGAAATTAATCCGAAAAAAATTTTGCCGATAGGTGGCGCAGGAGTCGAGATATTTGGAAAACCCGTATTTATGATCC